CCCCCCCCCCACGCCCCTGCTGAGCCTGTGCCTGGCCAGCATGGGGGAAGGGGCCCTCATTGACCCTGCCCCCCGCTGCCCCCCCAGGTGAACACCAACGGCAGCGTCCTGCTGAGCGAGATCGTGGGCACCATCAAGCTCAAGGTCTTTCTCTCCGGCATGCCCGAGCTGCGTCTGGGCCTCAACGACCGCATGCTCTTCGAGCTGACGGGGCGTGAGTACCAGGGCGCCCCCTCCCGGCTGGGGGGCTGGCCATGGGGTGGGGCAGGGCCCCTGTCTGCACCTCTCCCACACTTATAGCAGAGCTCCCTCGAGTTATTGTAGGTCCTACAATAAACAGCGTCTTGGTTTTCAGCTGCTTATAGAGCAGTAGAGCTTTAATATCTGCAAGCTCCCCCCTCCCCCGGCCTTTCTCCGCCCTCCCGCCAGCTCCCCCCTCCGCTCGGTGTTCCAGGGGGCAAGAACAAGTCGGTGGAGCTGGAGGACGTGAAATTCCACCAGTGCGTGCGGCTCTCGCGCTTCGACAACGACCGCACCATCTCCTTCATCCCGCCCGACGGCGACTTCGAACTCATGTCCTACCGGCTCAACACGCAGGTGGGCGGGGCCTGGCACGGCACTGGAGGGAAGGGGGTTGAGGGGTTACAGCAGGGGGGCTGGGAGCCAGGACTTCTGGGTTCTGCCCCTGGCTCTCCCTAGGACTGGCTGCGGGACCCGGAGTGACCCCTCTGCCCCCTCCGAGGCAGCAGCTGGGGCAGGGGGGGCGCCTGACTCAGTTCTCTCTCCCTGCGGGCAGGGGGAGCCCCTCATCTGGATCGAGTCTGTCATCGAGAAGTTCTCCCACAGCCGTGTGGAGATCATGGTCAAGGTGAGCCTCCGGGCTGGGTGGGCAGCCCCCATGCTAGGTCCCCCAGCGCTAATGCTGACGTTGGTTCGTGCCTTGGTTTCCCCGTCTGGAATGTTGGGCTCACATGCCCTCCTCCCTCCTGGGGTCTAGGAGGGTGACCGTGCGTGGCTGGGACAGGTGCGGAGACAAGACCTCCCCCCACCCCTGCTCCAGGGCCCTGGCTGATAACGAGCCCCACCAATTAACTCGGCTGCCTTCCTGGTGAAGTGGGGGGAGGGGTGGCTCAGTTCACGGGGCAGCCCCTGATGCCGCGTGTTGTCCCCCCCGCTCTGGGAAGGCAAAGGGCCAGTTCAAGAAGCAGTCGGTGGCCAACGGGGTGGAGATCGCGGTGCCCGTCCCCAGCGACGCCGACTCCCCCAAGTTCAAGACCAGCGTGGGCAGCGCCAAGTACATGCCGGAGAAGAACGTGGTCGTCTGGAGCATCAAGTCGTTCCCGGTGAGCGTCCCTCCCACCTGCGCCATCAAGGGCTTCCAGAGGGGGCAGGTTCTGTGATTCTGGGTTCTCTTCCTGGCTCAGGGAAGGGAGTGGGATCTAGTGGGTAGCGCAGGAGCTGGGTGCCAGGACTCCGGGTTCTTTTCCTAGCTGTGGGAGGGGAGTGGTGGCTAGTGGTTAGAGCAGGGGAGA